AGAAAGCCGGAAACAGCAGAAACTTCACAAGAGATCCTACTCTGTGTCCCATCTTGTGGTCTGACGGGAGTCTGAGAAAACCAGTGGACTATGAGCTGGAGCCCTTTTGCCAGGGGAAGCAGTGAAAACACATTTTCTTTTTCTTTGGCAGCAGGAGTGAGCTGCACACGAATGTCTTGCTAATTAAGCTGCTGTAGGAAATGGGAACTCAGCCAGGCATACAAAGAGCAGGGGAAAACCCCAAAATGAAGCGAGTTAATATTAGCACAAGTTATACCAACCGTGTCATGAGGAACCATAGGGGAGAGGGAGAGGGGGTAAGCAAGGTCATGAAAAATGGTCAAGATGTGTGTGTGTGCATATACACAAACGCATGAATACTTCGGCAAAAGCTAGTGGTGGATTGTTGAGAGGCCAATGCAGCTAAGTTCCTGCTTTGTTACATAGATAAATTGCCAAAGGAAACATTATCCAAACAGTTCTACTTCAAAGGCAAAACGACAAGCTTCGGGGAACTTGCGGTACTTTCAATCTGGCCAATAACCAAGTGTAAAGTGTAAAATATACATGTTTAGGAAGTAGGACACATGCCGTTCAAGACAGGCCTTTCCCATGCTCTCAGACCAGTGCAGCTTCATTTGATGTGCAAATGCATGATGTGTGATCTGTGCTGGCAATGTGCTGCCTGCCAGCAGCACAAACATTTCACAAGCACCCTTTTGGGTTACTTCAGCCTGCTGTGTGCGCAGCCTCCTTGGCAACCTCTGCAGCTGGAGCTTTTCTTACAGTCTATTGCTGTTGTGGTTGCACAATCCAGGTTTATTTAGCAGGTCTCATCAAGAGACTCAAGGCAGATAAAAAACACCTCAAAACCAGCCCAAAATCGCATGGTTTGATGTTACGTACTAGGACTAAATGGCAATACGAGGAATGGTTACAGTAATGCACTGGGGAACATACCAGTAATGCAGACTTCGTCAGCCCTTAAGGTGAATTGTCCCAGCAGATCACAGAATCACACACACAGAATCACACACAGAATCACTCGGTTGGAAAAGACCTCTGAGATCATCATGTCCAACTGTTCCTGTCTACCCCCTAAACCATATCCTTAAGTACCTCATCTACCCGCTCCTTAAACACATCCAGGGATGGTGACTCCACCACCTCCCTGGGCAGCCTGTTCCAGCTTCTGACGACCCTCTCAGTAAAGAACTTCCTCCTTATCTCTAACCTGAACCTCCCTTGGCACAGCTTGGTGCCGTTTCCCCTTGTTCTATCCCCCATCACCTGGGAGAAGAGACCAGCACCCACCTCTCTCCAAGCTCCCTTGAGGCAGTTGTAGGTGGTGATGAGGTCTCCCCTCAGCCTTCTCTTCTCCAGGCTAAACAAGCCCAGTTCCCTCAGCTGCTCCTCATCAGGCTTGTTCTCCAGAGCCCTCACCATCCTTGTGGCTCTTCTCTGAACACGCTCCAGAATCTCAACATCCTTCTGCTAGTGAGGGGCCCAGAACTGAACACAGCACTCGAGGTGCGGCCTCACCAGTGCCGAGTACAGGGGGATGATCACCTCCCTGGACCTGCTGGTCACACTGTTTTTAGTACAGGCCAAGATGCCATTGGCTTTTCTGGCCACGTGGGCATTGGATACTTCGGGGCATTACAGCTGATGGCAGAGGTGCTCCATAATGTGTTTATAAATGGCATCTGAAATCAGGTGAAATAATGTTCCCCGGAGTGCTTCCTGGTGCTGCAGACACAACCAAAAATACTTGTGCTGTGCACAGTACAGGACAGCCTCTGCTGTTTGTTGAAACTCATCCTATAAACCCATGAAAAGTAACAGTGCAAATGCTCACCATAGAGAAGCAGTGGATTGTGGGCGCAGTCCCTATTTTCAGTAGTGGCTTGAGTGGATTTAAATTTGTTGATATCGATAAAAAATACTTGTGGTCTTTTCGGTGCAACTGGGCTCTAAAGTACCTGTGCTATGGGGGCGAGGTTGGCTTTTGTTCAGGATTTAAACTCGCTGGCTGAGCTGTTTTAGAATTAACCTTTCCTATGAACCAGGGCATGTGGATGTGCTTCCCCCCCCCAGTAACATAAGCTAAGGGGATTACGGATATTATACCACAGCTCTGGTGACTTATCCTGGTTGTACCAAGAGGCAAGTCACCCTTGGGGCTCTACTCACTGTCTCTGGGTCAGATTCTCAGTCATATGTGTGTGTGCAGCCTCTAGGCCTCAGTCTTGGGTAACCAAGCTCTTGATGCTGAACACTACCCCAAGTGTAGCAGCTGTGGCTACACAGACAGCTTAACCTGCTCTTCCCCACTAAAACGACTGAACTTGCACTGCTGCCAGCTGTAATAATCCGTTGCTTGTGTTAACCTTGAATTCCAGTGTGTCAGTTCCGATCCTCTGAGAAAAATTAGGCAAGTGCTTATTGAAACCAGCATCCCAGCACTCCACATTGTGCTGTGTGGAAGAGGAAAGTGGGACTCCAAGCACTAGTAGTAGCATATTGTAGCCACACTTTAGTCACTTGAAATTATACCACTACTCTCACATCAGCCTAATCTGTCCTTGTAAATGGCCCAACTTCATGGTAAAGTCCCCCACTTTGCTTCAGATGTTCCTGAGCTTTTTGGCACAGCCACACATAGTTCCCTCCCTGATACCTGTGTGCTGTCAGCGGGCACAGGAGATACAGTGAAGATGCAGAAAGAATTAATCAACTATGTGTTTAACAAGGTTGAGGAAGAAAGATGCATTTCATGCAGCTGTAGTCTCATGTGCTGAGAGAAGTCTGCGTGAATGGATTGGGAACGCTGATGGCGTGTCATGGCCACAGAGGCTTTTCCTGCTTCCTGATAGATCTAGCACTGCGCATATTGGTCATTGGGTTATGAAGTTGTTACGAGAAAAATAACTTCCTGTGTTGATGGACATAGCATGCGGTGAATGGAGATGTATGGATGCAAATGTAAGGTGGCTGTAAATGTAGCTCTCCAGAGCTCTCGGTGTGAGCATGCCGAGGGCCATACATGAACAGTACAGTGTATTGCTCGTCTTTGGCTTCCTCTTTAGCTAAATTGGTGTCCTGAATTCAGTGTTATGATGGGTTTTCTTTTTGTTTCCAGTAAGATGGCACTGGTACACCCTGCCTCTGCATATGCAAGGCGTGCTTTTTCATTCTGGCCTCTGTGGGGAGGAAGAGCATTCTTTGTAACAGGGCACCACTAATGTGTGAATGCTGTTCAAGCAGTATCAGTATCCATTGCTTTGTCTGAAGGCCACAGAACTGAAATCCTTTTTTGCCTTTCTTCACATCCTTTTTCCAGAAGAAGAGCACAATTATTTCCAAACTCTCCCTTTACTACACCTGTATACACTGGCTGGGGCTCCTCAGAGTGCCTGTTTACTATGGACCGAACTTTGCTCATTGCATTAGCTGATTGTTTTCAGTAGGTTCCAGAACCACCTTGCTTCATTCATTTTGCTTTCAGAAAAAGCACTTCATTGCTTGTGTCTATGTGACTGCTTGAGGTGGTGAGACAGGTTGCGAACAGGTCACAGAGACCTGGAAAGTATTTGTTACATAGATATGTAAAGTAAAAGTAAATACGGAAAGTACTGCTTGTCCACTCACAGACCCACGACAGAGTATTGTCCATGCCACTGATTACATAGAAATGAAACTCTGCTTAAAGTATTTCTGATATCCCAGACTTTCAGGAACAGTACTCTTTTATTTGAGAAGGCAATTTCAATCCTGTTATTTTTAGTCTCTTTTATCCCATCCATTTTAGTCGAGTTTATCTATTGTGATTGTCTGTAGAGTGTTGATTAAACCAACACTTTAAAACCAGTAATTATTCTGTGACATGAACACTGAATTAAACCAGTATTATTCTGTGACACTGAGCTATAACCATTGCTTGACATGCAATGAAGTAGCTTGGCCTTATTAACTGAGTAGTTGCTTTATCTGAATAGGCTCCATTTCAAAAGAGGAATGCTGTTCCTGGCGATGAAAGTAACCTTGGAATAAGGGATTGCTTGAGCGAGAGCTGTACAGTACCTGGCCATATGAATTTTCCTGGCTGTCAAGTAACAGTCAGCCCTTTTCCTCTCTTTTAGCATTTTGAAATTAAAGACAAGTAGAATATCACTCCATAAAAGATCTGAGTGTTAATTTAATCATCTCTGTGACTCATCTACTGGGGAAAGAAAAGGCATCACGGTTTTTTTCAACATTATCCAAAACTCAAGCTGTGATGCAGCAGTTTGCAAGGGTGTCCCACTGGTTCTGATGATTTCAGACCTTCCCCAATAGCTAAACTGTATGACCATGAGGGTGAGGATGAACTTGGCTATGACCTAGATCTGCAATTCACAAGTGTTTTTCATACAGCTGCAATAATATTCCAGAAAATGTAATTGGCCTTTTACTTCATTCACTTTTGCAAATGAAAATAAAGCTACTGTGAGAGCAGATCTTTTGCTAAGAAAATATTTTTTTTAATATTTTTATAGCTCTGTCAACAATAAAGGAGTCTCACAGTCTAAAGTCTTTCTCTAAACCTTTTTAATGGAAAAAACTTCATAGAAAATATCTTTTTACTTTTTTAATAACATATAACTATATACATGATTAAAAGCTGTAACAAAAAGCTGCAGGGACTGGAAAAATGTTTTGTTGGATCCATGCAGATGGTACATTTAAAAAAGGATTTCACAAATCCATGTACATCAAATGGAGCTGCAGTGACAGGGCTGAAAAAAATGGCAACTCTCTATTATTTACCTGAATGTACTGGGAATAAAGCACAGACGTACAAAATACACAAAAAGAATACAAAAGAGTACACGGTGTAAATGCTGTTAGCACAGGAAGTTTCTTTTTTAAGTAAATAGGAGAAAAGAAGTACAATCTCCTTTTTCACATTTTATAGTGCAGCTTATAAGACAACTAATCTCTTATTTGCTGTATTTTGTTTTTTCTTAACTCTGACATACACTACAGTAGAAGATACGGTATTTGCATTTAACAACTCAGGAATATTTTGGTCTTCTCCATGTCTGTGAATGTACTGTCATTTCCGAATAACATCACGTATACATATTGCTTTAAAAACACGTACACAGTTTGACATGACTTAGAAATACAAAATACTGAGGGCTACCACACTACAAAGTGCTGGATACTCTTGTCCTGATCCAGCAGTATGTTGAAGGACACACACAAGTTCAATCTAAGAGGAATTCCTCAAAGAGTAAAGGAAGTTAAGACTGTGCAGAAATGATTTGCTGATCAGATCTGGAGTTTTCAACAGTTCATAGGATGGACTCTGCAGCTAGGAACACTGTTACATCTGAGGCCATATTTCTGTCCATACGTCCCAGATAATGTAGCTACACGGTGTCGGTGATTCACTCTACTTTAAAAAGAAATTTTCTTAATTCTAAGTTAGAACATGAAATGAAACCTCTTTTTAAAAAGTCTGGTGAGCTCTGCAGCTGGAAAGAAGAAAGAGACGGTGTTTAGTTTGTTAGTTATGACTTGGAAGAGGTTCTGTAGGCAGCAGGAAACACGGTGACAGGTTTTAAACACCTCGCTTCGAAAAGAACTTGCTCATATTTTTGTCTTGGGCCTAAAAAAACCCAGACATAATTGAGGAGTCAGTGCCAGAGAGTAAGCTCACCTGAGGCTCACAAGCACGGTGAGGATGGCAAGCCATCATTTAGTAAGAAAATAAAGTCAAGCCTAGTTCTTGCCAGGTGGGCTTTTGCTGGGTTCTTCCTGCTGTAATGAATACTTGAATGATTCCCAGTGTAATCACAGGCAGTTTAATAGCAGACAGATAAATGGTGTCTGTGTGTGCATGTACTTGTTTGAAAAATGAAAAAAGGTGAAAACAACAACTGTAACAACAACGAAACTAGGCAAGAGTGAAAACTGAAATATTCTGTGAAGTCCTGGGAGCTGTTCCTGTTCTCTGTAACACCCCCGCACCCTCTCTGGCCACGCTCTTTTGGAAGGCAGGTAAATCCTTTCAAGTTCCTGTAAGTGAGGGAGGATTTTTTGCTTATAGCAAGACATTAATTATGAAAATAGGTTTGAAAACCAAATCGCTGTGGGTCATGAAAGCCAAATCTCACTGAGAAGTACCTGGATTTCGTTGTCCGTATTATGGTTGAATTCCCTTCCCAGTCTGACCTCTTTATGTGAGCATTCGAACTGGAAAGTTGCCAATACACCAGCTTCTGACTCGTTACCATTCAGTCTTTTATTTTTTTTTAAGAACATCGATACTTTGTATATGTTGTTAATTTCTAGCATTTTGGGTAGAATCTGGCTTGAATCTAGACTGTCAGCACAAGGCAGGTCTTTTTGAGAAGGCAACCTGAAAGCAGTGAGACTTATTTTGTTTATTGAAAGAAGAGATAAATGTGTATGTGCATGCATTTGCATTTAACAGTTTTATAGCTAGAACCATTATTAAATGATGCTCAATAGCAATGTTTCTCTCTTGTAATGATTAGTTTTATAAAGACGTAACAATTCTCAGGAGAGTTTTATGAAAACATGCAGAGTTGGTTTGTGTTACATATGCAGTTATGTGCCCAGTATATATGTTGCAACTTAATTTCTTAAATATATATTGTGTAACACTTTTTATTCCTGAGTGCTGGTCTCCATAAGGAATAGAGAGGGTGGCATCATGTGCTCTTCTGCACAACGTGGTCCTCTGTCATTTTAGGAATTCTTCTGAGGGATCTTTATTGTCACAGTTTTAACTTCAGAATATTCTCTCAATCCACATTCACCCCTACAAAACAAATTGCAGCATCAGCTTACACCAGACATTAATTCTTTATCGACCAACAACTCGATTCCTTGATAAAGTTAAGATATAACTTAAAATTCTCAGCATAGGTTTCTGACAAAATATCCAGCAGCACAAATCACCATTTGCACATACTGTAAAAGGGCACTGAGCCTGCTCAGACCTCCACTAGACTGCTGTAGAAGAGCTCTTACTGTCCTGGCACAGCATCTTTTGTAAGATCCCCTACACTGCTAGAAGCCACTTCCTAGGCCCCAGTCATCTGGGAGCACACATGGCTCTGAGGGCTTCACGTTCTGCTTTGGGTAAGTTGTGCTTAAGAAATGGGTGTTTCTGAATGCCATGTAGATTTTGTTGTAGTCAGCTCCAGCCTGGCTTATCTCTTGGGCAACTCTGCTGAGGTTTAGAGTGGACATTGCAAAGCTTCTTGGGAGTTACGCCTGTCTTCTCTGAAGTACAGGTATTTGCATTTTGCTGGGCATATTTTAGTAATGGAGAAGTGTGTTCCAGTCAAGTCATTGGTTAAGTAAATTCTAATGTGTCTGCCGGAGGCTGTGTATGTAAAGCACTCAAAACAGGTACAGTCCAAGTCTGGAAGTAGAGAACTCTTCTGTATGAACTCATATGAGGATTCTTTTGCACAAGCTCTTCTAGACATTTGTTTCTTGGTTAAATTCTTACCCCACCCCTAAAACACATACAATACTGCTCCCTTACTTGCATTAAAATCTAAAAAGTGCTGACATGGATATCATGTTAGCATCTTTACTGTTTGACACTGACTTCCCTCTGGATCCAGCTGTGTCGAATTTAATGCCGACTGCACTATAAAGAATATTTCAGGGCAATTCCTCAGAACCTCCTAGTAGTAAGTGTTGCTTTCAGAATGGAGTGAGGAGCTACTGTTGAAAGCAATTAAACTCCTCTGCATGCTCCTGTTGTGGCATAGCCTACTTCGTATTTACCTCTACACTCTAAGTTTTACACAAAATATAAAATCGGGGGAGGAACTCCTGTAATCTTCCTTAAGATTACATTAAGGAGTAATTACATTACTTAAGTTAATTCATTTGGGCAGAAATATCAGTATTTACCAGCCCATTTCACTCCACCTGCAGCTTTGCAAACTTTCTGATGTGCCTGTTGGCTTGGTAAGCCATACACGTGATACAGTGGTTGATATTTAACTCAGACTGGCGATTCAGTAGGCGGTTTAAGATTTATCAGAGTCTAACTACATGCAAAGAAACATATTAGTGAACATTTTTTGACATGTGAAAAGGTGAAAGGTTCCCATTGATTTGGACCACCTCACCCCCAGCTTTCAGTAGAAAGTGGTAGATTTGTCTCCGAAGAATGACCAAAAATTTTGCTGTTTATCAGACTCAGCTGAGCCACAGAACCATTCCCTTACGGCTCAGTGGAAGCCGTCACCGGGAGCCACATGGAGCCCAATAACTCATGCTAGTAAGTAATCACAATTAGATGCATTTATTGTCTGTCTCTTCAGCTCAAGGCTTCAGGGCCTTACGCATTTGTTTTCTGGCCAAAAGTTTGGACGTGGACAACTGTCATGAATTCTAATTTTTCAAAAGTTAACAGGTTGCTCTTGCTGAATAAGAAGATGGGTTATTCCAGACATTGAGAGCAGAAGAGTCAGTGCGTGTTCAGTTAAAGGACTCACTTGTCCCCACAACCTAATACAGGGAAGTAGAGAGCAGGAACATCCTGTTCTATGGCCATTTAAGAAATACTTTATACTCCCTCAGTCCAAGAGAAAAAAGGTAAGAAAAAGAATTATAACTCCAAGCTGTTCTCCTGCTTGTTCTTCTTTTTGGGAATGCTGCTATGCACTGCTGTATCTCAGAGCTATCCGGACAGTAAGAATTCCTATGACATTAAAGGATAGCCCTGTAGTAGAATGGCACCTCCTTCCCTTGAAGACGTTTGGACACAGACCAGAACTTTGGGGAACTCTAATATAAAATGCCCACATGTGGCTATCTGGGATGAGCCAGGTGATTTTTAGTTACAGGAGTTAAATTTTGCACCACTCAGGTAGTGATAAGAAGCTTTAAAGAAGTGTAAATCTAAAAAAATCCCTCTTTTAGACTCCTTGAAGAATACAAGAATATTTTAAGGAGCCTTAATGGAAGCAGTAATCAGTTGTCTTGTGTACATGAGTTCTGGTTCTCTACTGGTATGCACACACCCTGCTACATTTTGTGGGAGTATAACATGAGTAGAGCAGATCTCAGCTTTCCGTGTGCAGTTTTTTTCCCCCCATGTGTGATAAAAATCTGTGAATTGAAATGCAGGATCAAAACAAGTCCCAGATAAGACAGTGTTAGCACAGACAGCACAGTGGCACAATTATGATCTGACTGTAACACAGTATTAGCTTAGCAATGGCACACATATGTGTGGATGCTTTATCTTTTTTTTTTCTTTAATTGCCTAACTCAACATTATTTATGCTGTAAAATGTATCTCTTAAAAACAAAGATCTAAGAAACCATGGCATTTTAATAAAAAGTATGTAGATATTAATGCGGGGGGGGGGAGGAGGTGAATTAGAAGGTGATATCTGATCAAAGAGGTTCTGAAAGGAGTAGAATAGTTACTCATAAGTAGGTTTTCAGGCATCTCTGTGAGATAGAGATTATTGCCATTTCAAACGTTTGGTGTTTATGATGAATATTTCCAAAGCTGTAGATGGGGACTCAAGTGTTCAACAACCACAGATTTTTCCATGGGAGCTGGGGTGCTGCCTGGTTTCCCCCCCTTTCAAAACCTCCACGATATCGATATGTGAATATTTTGCTTGCGCAGTTCACCTCCCTGAAGTCAATGGGGTCACTCTTGGGTGTCAAGTTACTCATGTGCTCTGTCGAGCTTAGTAGTTTTAGAATATTTTCACAATGATAAGAGTTAGATGAGCTGACATATTTATGCCAGTGTGAGATCACCTCATAACTCATGAATGTGGAGAATAGTATGAATGTGTTATTCAAAGTACTCCCTAATGAGGGAAAATATTTTAGACTACATAGAGCTCATTTTATAGATCAAGTTGTATACTTCAACATATTTAAAGTTTTAAAGAGTTTGACCTTACTTTAGTTTTACTGCTGGGTATGCCATTAGCCATAAGCTATTTGGAAAACAGAGAGAGACATATCTGGTATGCATGCCTCCTGCACAGAAATTAATTCAGTCCTTTGTACGCGTAACCAAGCTGGGGCTGATGCAATTGCTAAACTTCCTTGTGATTGTAATGAGAATTAAAAGCTGGTAAGTCTTTAAATAAAATACGTGGGACAGTATTTGAGTGTGGAGCTCCATTACGTTTCTGTCTTATTCTGTTTAGAACTTTGGAATGGAAGGTGATTTTTTGGAAAGGGATCTAAATACATTTGTATATCCTTCTCTTGGCCTGTTTTCATTGGATATTGTTTATAAATCTGGAAGAGATAGATAACATTTTAATAATATTCAGATGCACCTATTAGGGAAAAGTAAAGAAAGGAAAAAATAGCAGGATAGGCAAAATATATGGCAAACCAGCTCTGAAACAAGTACACCAAACCAGTCAACAAGCATACAGCAGTACTCAAAAGAGAATCTTTTTGCAAAAGTCCTGGTTAATATGGGTAAGAAAACACAGGTTACAAGTTCAGAAGAATACTCAGAAATTTTCAGTTCCTTTCAGAATACAAAGGAGGTCCCAGTAACTTATTCTGCTATTAAAAAGGGGACAAAAAAAAGAAGGAAGGGAAAGAAAGCGGCCTTACCATATAAATCACTGGCATTTAGAACTGGCAATGATTATCAGTCATTTTATGTATTCCCTGGTCCTCAGATCGGAGTCTTTCCTGATCTTAATTTGCAAGGAAGGATTCACTAATGTTTACTAAGTTCTAGAGCTGAAAACAGTTTAGAAGACAGCAGTGCAATACTTACATCTCTCTCCCGTTGCCAGACATTTTGAATCCTCCAAAAGGACTTTGGGCATTTAAGGCATTGTAGCAATTAATCCTGTAACAGGAAGAGGCATTAAGTCCAACTGTGTTGTCAGAGAGACCTTTGGACAACTTGGGCAGAGGCTGAAACTTGTGGAGCTAAGGAGACCGTATACCTCTTTAGTAATAACAAACTTGTCTCATGTTGAAGAGAAATGAGGGATTTATGCCACAAAAACAACATTGTGCTCCTTACTCATAAGGAGGATGGCATTTGGCCTGTGAGCACTGGAGGAGGGCACCGAGCACTTGGCCACAGCTTTAGGAATGAATTGTTAATCTGCTGACAAACCTCAGTGCCAGTTTATAACACAGAGCCATTAGATTTGAATTTGTCCTTTTTCTCCCTGATTTCTCATGGATCTTCAGTTTACCCAGGCTCGACATACCAAACTGCAAGCCATTAAACTCTAGAAGTGGCATCACCTATTCGTAAGGACTAGAGAGAAGAGGCATCCTCTCAGTTCCTCAGTGTTCTGGAAAGTGCACAATTCTTTGTGCCTTTAGCAGAAACCTGACAGGACTCCTGTGCTCCACAGAAAGGATCATTTATACTGTTTGTTTTTGGTAATGCCACTCAGCAGTGTGGCTGCCATGCTAATGGGAAGCAAGGCACCTTCCAGTTTTCAACAGCATTCACCCGCAGTGAGCAGTCACACCACCTCCCTACAGCTGTTCTGTATCTTGGTTAGTGATTCACCACTAGGATGGTCTAGATAAACATTTTTGCAGACAAAAGGGTGCAAAACTGAGACGCCATAATGATGGTGAGTCAAATTCTTTATCTCTAAGAGCCAGGAGTGTGATAACTTCTCCCTTACCAGACTGTCCCAGCCTGCATTGCTGAAGAGACTGTCAGGGCCTTGTTTATATCATTTGTAAAGACAGCAGCTACCAGCCCAAAATCAGAATTGTTGGCTCTCTCTATAACTTCATCCATGGTTTTAAATCTCAGTATTTCTTGAACAGGTCCAAAAATCTGCAACAGAGATTAATCATTAATTAAGAAACCAGCCCATTCAGAGGCATTTTATTCCTGTTTTATTCTGCTTTTTAAATTGCCTTCCCTCTCCTGTTTACAAATTCCCACAGAAGCATTTAATAGTGGTAATAGCTGTCTGTAAAACTGCATGAATTTCCCAATTTCAGTGGAACCCATCCACTCTTCCCTTATCTTTTCTTTGAGGTCTGAGACTTTACAGCCAATGACAAAAATTGAGCTGCTTTACCCAACTGATGTCATTGGTTGCTGTGTGCATAAGAATTCTGAAAGTGGTTTTGTTTTGGTTTAAATACAGTGGTAATTTTCACTGTAAAGCTTTCATCTCAGGAAGTAAACGAAAGGAAAAAACAATCACGTTTAGGCCATTCTAAAATGATCTTGAATACCTCCTCCTTGGCAATCCGCATGTCATCTGTTACGTTGGAAAACACCGTAGGTTCAATGAAGAAGCCCTTTCTTCCTAGCCCTTTACCCCCACATTCAAGTTTTGCTCCTTCTGTAATGCCACTTTGAATGAGTTCCAAGATCTTGTTGTATTGCTTTTTATCAATCTGAAAGAGAGAAGAAGCCATTTGACTTGGAGACTGTGCACTTGACGATCAAGTCAGAATTGGTTTTTTTAGGTAAGTCATGCCCCATGAGTAGACACATGATTTTGTTCTCTGCTCTTTGAGCTGGAGATGCCAAAGATCTACAAATAGTTGCTGACTTAAGCCTAGGGCTCAGTCTTCTTAAGGATGTGTCTCCTATGTATGTGGATCAACTTAAATTCTTGCTAGGCAATCTGGTTTATAAGCACAAACAAAGCAGATCATTATCTTTTGTCCCAGGTTAACTTCCTGAAAATGGTGTAAGCCCAGCTTATTAGTGGCAGAAACATCTTCTGAAGACCTATTTCTAAGTCTGCCCATCTTTTCCTTACAATTCCTGTCTCCCTAGAGGTCTACAAGCACAGTTATGGTCGTAGGCAATTCTTGACAGTAAGTGCCCACAGAGACTTTGAGTTTCTCACAGCTCTGTACTGGGGGCTGAAGACCAGAATCTTGCTGTGAAAGCTGGGAGGCAAACATTGAGAGTTTCTGCTTAACAAGAAACATCTCTGAGCTGCACAGTTTATTCCTTCAGAATTTTAATCTTTAAAACATTCATCATGCCAACTACCCTGGGCTGTGAGCAAGTATGCACTGCCTGACCTCAGCCCTAGCAGAGTTTAAAGGCTTCCAGGCTCCTTCCAGGCTGTAGAGCTGAAGAACGATTCCTTTACCTGTGGACCCTGTTCCGTAGTCGGGTCAAAAGGACTCCCCACGACTCTCCTCTTTGCGCGTTCTACACTTCTTCTAACGAACTCTTCATAGATTGATTCCTCCACGTAAATGCGTGAGCCTGCAGTGCAGCACTGACCTTGATTGAAGAAGACCCCTTGGTGAGCTTGTTCCACAGCATAGTCCACTGAAAAACCAAGACAGCACATGTTGCTCTGAAACATCACAGACACATCTGCTATTGCACCAGTGTCGTGTGTATTACATAGTGCCACATTCCTAAAACTTCAAAGCAGTAATAGGATTTGGTTAAAAAAACCCGAAACAGCAACCAAATCAAACCATACTATTGTTGTGTCGAGTCATAAATTAAAATGGTTTGTTTAATTTTGAGTCATAATCCCTGTGAAAATGTGAAGTTTTAAAACATGTCTAAAGTTGGGGTTATTTTCCTGATTGATTCCATCCTGGACACAGCTATACTGGAGGGTTATAAAACTGTTTTAGAAACACTAGATTGCAAGGGACCACTTGGGACTTCAGGCATCATCCAGGCAAAGAAGGGTCCACAGGTAATACATTCGCCATGCCATCTTGTGACACGAGCCACGAAATATTGCTTAATACCCCACTGCAAAAATTAAATGAAGACAGTGCTTTAGCAGTCGATAGGAGTAGGGTATGCAAGAACAACTTCACCGATGACTCTCATGCCAGCAACATGTAATTTATCAACTAAAGCTCTCAAGAGACCCCAGGAAGCGGATTGTGCCTCGCATTATAGAAGTCTGTCTGACTGGGGTCAGTACAGGAAGGGAAAATTTGTGTGTGATCCAAAGTTTGCACTTGGTTTAATACTGCATATGTGAGAATTACAACCAACCACGTACTTGAGAGAATTTGACTTTGATAATGGCAAGTCCTGTCCTTCTCAAAAAGCCAGATTATTTTTCTGCAGGACAAAAACAGAGAGAAAAGCCTGGCTCCTTCCTCCT